AAAAAAAAAAGAAAAGAAAAGAAAAGAAAAAAGACAAATCATGAGATGGCTATGATCATTTTACTACTCTCACGACACCGTCTACCATACAGAAATGAAGAAAGTGAAAACGGAATGCAAAAAATGTATCAAAACCAAATAAGAGTAAAAGAACCTAAGAATTTTTTAAAATATTAAAAACTTACGAGCTCCAAGAGTTCGAAGCTCCTCCTTAATTTGAGCAGACAATGTGTTACTTTCTAATTTCAGGCAGACATTGATTATCTCCAATGCATCCCAATACCTCCGCAACGAGGATAATGACTTGCATAACTGTTGAAAATGGTATGAGAATTTATTCAGTACGAGATAATTCAGGAAAATGAGTCCCAAACCACAAAAGTGGATCATATCAAGGGAAAATCTGGCAAGGATCGGTAGTGTGCATAAACAACTCTTGATATATAACAATACAAATATATAACAAGAAACACGAACACATGCAGTCATGCACATAGGAGAGTGAATAAGACATGCATGAGCAACTCACATCCACAATCAAAAGATGATTTTCTTCTTCTTTTAGAAAATCTGGCAGAGGAGATTCCTGAACCACTTGCTGCACAAGTGAAGAACAACCAGAAAGTGAGAAACACGAGTAAAGTGGTTTCTACTTAAAAATAAGATATCAATTCCTCATTCCTTACTGGACATTCATCATCTGAATCATCACTCCTCCAATCAATTCCAGCAGCTAACGCTGCAGCTTTTTGCACTTCTCTCATTGCTGCCTTCTTCTCCAGTAACTTCTTTGCCCTGGAAGCTTTAGACCTACACCAAACATCAAAGAAATAAGTACTCAAATACTTTCATATACATTTCATATAAGTATGCTCTGTGAGATATATAGTTGGCCAATACAAACTAGAGAACACATTACATCTTCTTTTTAGGGGGCTGGGGCGACTACATGTACTACAATGAAGTGTTTCTGTTAGGGTATTTACATTTATAATTGTATTAGGCAGTGCATTTGTTGTACATCGGAGGTTAGAATCATCAGTAACTAAAATGGCCTGCCCAGTAGGATAATTCGGGGTGTGTTTGTTTAGAATTTTTCTCAATTCATACTTAATCCATACTCAAAATCTAACTCAACTTTAATTCAATCCACCTAACTTCAACATTATCGATATAATTAAATAATATCAATCAATCATCCTTACACACCACATCAACTTTAATTCACTATTCACCTACTCACACAGTTTTAACTATCACTTCACGTCATCCCGCTCCTACTTTTACATCATTAATTTAAATTATTCTATTTTAATTATTATTTTAACATAAACTCAAAATCCCACTAACAACTAATCATACCACTTTTTTTTAAATTAACCCTAGTTAACCAAAAAAAATCGTTTTGACAGATATATTTATATCCAAGCACTCCCTTGATAATTTGATTGGAGAATGCAAGAAAACCATTGAGGTTGCAAAGTACATCATAGCAAAATATAAGTACTAGGACGTTGCACAATATATTTCCTGCCCAACTTGTATGCATCAAACTACCAGTTTTACCAAACCAACCCAATTTAAGATTTTTTATGCAAAAAGAAAGGTTAATAAAAACAAGATACTCACAGATCTGCAGAGGAAGCAACAGGCCTAAATCCATGAAACACATTGTCAGTTTGCTGATAATCCAACACTTTGACCCTTTCTGATAGAACACTTCTAGACAGACGTCGTCGGGATTTCCCCTGCACATATAGAATATTCTGGAAGATCAAAGAAAACAATGAAAAGGAAAAATGTCGTCGATCACAATAACTCAGGCCACATGGAAATGAGTGACACAAATCACAATTGATTTGCAGTCATGCTATAAACAAACATGTAAACTGTTTCATGGCCCCTTTCAGAGTAAAAACAAGAAATGACATCATAATCAATCATCAGTGACATCACATAAAAGAATGAAAATACAAAATGGCAGAAGCTAAGAGAAACTTGCAGATGGAGGAGTTTAGTCAACGCCTCAACGGGCAACCAAATCAGATGGCTAGTAAGGCCACTTAAAAGTATTATCAAAATCCACATCAATGCGATGTTTGGTAAATAATGAGATACTCATCTTCTGGCCAGACAATAAGAAGTTGCGTACTTGTTGTATTTACACATTTATAATAAATTTCTAATGCATCTCGCACCTTGAGAATGCCCCAATTGTAGTTTTTTAACAATTATCCACAGAAACATATCTATTAAAACCTTTTTTTCTTTGTTGGCATCTGAAGGCAGAAACAGTATAACCTAGATTTTTCAAATATCTGTATTCTCATATATTTCGGGATCTCTTCTTATTGCATATTTTACCTGTACTTTTAGTGCACTTAGTCAGTAGGGAATAATTACTTCAACAGCCAAGAAAAGTCACTGCAGTTTTCTGTATTACGGAGCCATTCACAACATAAAAGAGAGCATTGCATGATATCAAACTATTTTATCTTTGCACAATTCACTCTTATCTCCATATCGAATTAATCCTAGAGGCAGAGGCCAGAGAGACAGAAACCACTATATTTACCTTAAGTTACATATGATATGCCCAAGATAACCTACAGGACGATGAGAGAGAGAGAGAGAGAGAGAGAGAGAGAGAGAGAGAGAGAGACATGGACTGATTGCAGAACCGACTTACCTTTTGCTGGATTGTTTCGATAAACAACATCTCACGAATTACAGGAAACAATACATCAGCAAAACCTTCAGCTGACCCCTTGGCTTTATAAATTTGAGCAAGCTTCAACTTTATCTTCCCATTATCCCACCATACTTTACCCGTAACTGAATTTCTGTCACCATTTAATACTGAGGACCAAAAGAGCATTTCACAATTAACTTTTTACACAATATTGCAAGGACGTTTTAGGTGAAGATAACAGATTACACATGGCCAAAACACGGGCTGGGTCACGGCCCGGCGGGCCTCCGGACTAAAAAACAAGGACCCGGACCCGGCACAGACCTATGCTCGTGCCGGGTCTTCATTTTTGTGAAAAAATATAGATTATTATAAAAAATTGAACAAAAACGGGCCACAGGCCCAGCCCAGCCTGCCAGGGTCATGATATTAAATGACCCGGAAACAGCCCGTCAAAAATCCGGTCCAGGCCAGGTCAGCAGGCCGTGCGGCCCGTAGCCATGTCTATAACAGATACCTGATTCTACTGGAGGAGAAAGCACAGAAATAGCTTCATCATCTCTTCCTTCTTCAACAAGGAGACACGCCAGAATCAACCGAGCATCAACACTATCAGCAAGATTTTTGACAGCTACAAGAAATTAAATAGGGTGACAGATTTCAGTATATTATGTACACTTCGGAAAGAACATCCTCCCTATATATAAAAATGAATTTTCCGAGCCTAAGTGCCAACATCTGGCACTTCATAATCATAAACCTATATGCCGATATCTAGTGCTTCATCTTCCAATGTGTCAAATCTGGTGATTCTGAGTAGTATATAACTATATATAGTTCTGCACTTTTATCATGGCTATTCCTATGCGTCAAATTCTGGTGACTAGTATATATAGATCTACACTTTTATCATGCCTATCAAGAGATGTAAAATTTTAAAACAGTTGGTCAACTTAAATTAAAAATAAATTTTAGAACTTAATAACACTTTAATTTGTTTACAGTTTTTCATGCATAATATATAAAATTAATCAGCTTTTTAAGATCTTTGATTTGACCATATAGTATATATATTAAAACTATATCTACTTTTATAAATAAGGATTAAATTATCTATTAATCCTAATTGAAAAGCCAAAAAAAATATTTATCAATTAGATACATTAACATGATATGAGTAAGAAAAATTGTTATACTATAGGACGAACGAGTCTTGCTAAATACTAGTGAGGGGTGTCCTTTAATCTGAAAATTTTTAAGAAATGTTTGAAAAATAAAATAAAAGCTTTTATTTATTTTTTTAATTTTGAAAGTTTTCAGTTAACACCCGTGAAATACACGAGTGTCGTACTACTACTAGTCTAAGATTAAGATATGATGTTTCATGGCAGAATCACAAAGATATAAAAATCTGAATTCAAATCGAGCACTTGTTTATAGTAAAATCTGAGACTTTCATTTACCTTTGTAATAATATTCAATCGCAAGCGCTCCATTCCTCATAGAAGCATAACACCTTGCAATTTTCAAATGCAGGTAACCCTAAATATATGTTACAAGTGAATATTAAAAGGTTAAGCATTGAGAACCATAAAGTATCTCACTAAGGTACTTCTGCCACATCAAATTCAATATAAATGAACTTACATTATACTTCTCCGCGTCTTCTTCTAACATCATGTAATATTTTAATGCCGATTCACAACGCCCAGCAGTCATCAGTGAGTCCGCAATATCAATGACTAAATGGGGATGAGTTGATGAATCCTCTGGTTTAATTTCACTGAAGCAAACCTGTGAAACAATTTGGTGAGCAACCAGAATGCTTAAACCAAAAGCTCAAACCCTGAAAGAGGAAACGTAAAATAAGCCTACAAGAAGAAGACATGTGAAGTGGCTGGAAAAAAACTCTGAGTAGAGGGTGCTTTGAAAGTGTTGGGAGATGAAAAAAAAATGGTGTTCGGAAGTAATCATGGGCACAATTTGCAGCTCCGCACATACAGTGTTTGGTTTTATGCATCTGTGCCTAGAAAGATACGAGTAATCCCTTCGCTCCTTGCTAACACCTTCTTCCTGATCTTTTGACTTTACTGCGCTTCGTTCGTTGGGGAGAGGAGCGGGTAGAGGGTGCTTTGAAAGTGTTGGGAGATGAAAAAAAATGGTGTTCGGAAGTAATCATGGGCAAAATTTGCAGCTCCGCACATACAGTGTTTGGTTTTATGCATCTGTGCCTAGAAAGATACGAGTAACTTTCCCTATGTAAAACATAAACATATATCTTTTACAAATGTCCATCTCTAGATAAGATTTCCTCACTTGGCTATCAAAGCACAGTGTCCACATTTCATCCACTTTGCTCCTCTACTTGACAAATTAGAACCATTAACTACTAGTTTACTGATCAAAACATAGTGTCCTACATAGTATTAAACAGCGAATGGTGATTCGCACATGGCCTGACCGCGAGGTAGGCAAGGCCTCAGAAACACAAGGCACCACCATCGAGTGAAAAAAAAATTATATAGATATTGCATTATATATCTAAGTTGAAATGACAAGTACAATCTCAAATATCATAAGAACTACAACATTAAAAATAGAAACATTAAGTAAAATTATAACAAAATTCATAACATTAGGAATATAAGATTAAAAAAAAACTAAAATCAAAGGCAAAAGGTATAGAACATATGCAGAAAACTAAATGTAAAATGAAAATTGAAATTAAATCATAGGAAAAAACCAAAAATGAAATAGAGAAACAGAAAAAGAAAAAGAAAATAAAAACTGAAACTAGACTTGAAATCGAAAATAAGAAGGAACGATGAAAAGCGTCCAGGCCAACAAACAGAAAAGAGAAAAGATGGAAAAACTGAAAGAAGAAAGGAAAAAAGAAAAGGCAGAACAGCAAAAGCAGAACACGGCAGTCAGAGAAAGGAAAAACGAAGAAGCAGAAAAGAAAAAAAGGAAACAGAAAAATTTGAACGGAAAATGAAAGAGAAGAAAGAAAAAAATGTAAAATAAATAAACAAAAATCCAAATGGAAAGAGCAGCAGAAAGGAGACAGAAAAGGAAAAGAAACAAAAAAACCCTAGTCAGGTGAGCCGCGATTCTATGAAAAAAAAAAAAAAAGAAAGAAACTCAAGAACCAATTCTCTACATCTCTCAAAATATTCAACAGCTGGTGGCACCCGAGCATGGTGTGCTTCCACATTGCCTTTGGCGATAGGAAAGGTGTTGCATGGATCCGTTAGGCGCCCGCCACAGGCAGCAGCGAGGTGATTTCACACCTGCTCCTGCCGCCTTTCCCCATGGCAGCACCATTTAAAATTTAAAACTATGGTGTCCATAGTCAGAACCATTAATTAATAATTACTACTAGTTTACCAATAGAAGTGGAAGGTGTCCTCAAGGGGATATTCCATTATAATACCTGATTTTAGCATTGTATCACAATAAGACATTGAAATCTCAATTGAGGATTTCAATTTACATTTATTATCGCCTAAAGGCTCACTTTTATATTTTAACATTTTTTATTATAAATATGTAAAATAAAAATTTCAAACATAATGATGTCAAAATATAAAGTTAGTTGAAGTCTTAATTGAGAACGGAAGTGTAGAAGTAAGCCTTCAATTGATAGTAACTTTAAACTGAAGCATCAATTGAGAAAGTTCAAAACTCAGCCCTATTTTGACAGAAAACTAAAACACAAGGCCGTATAATGGAAGTTTCCTTATCCTCAAACCACAAGGCGGCATTCTCATCATGTTTGGTTAAATCGATTCCCAGACTTTCAATCATAGTACTGGTTATTGGCAACCTTGGGAGTTGGGACAACTGAGTTCTCTAATATTCTTACTCCAATTTACAGGATTCCTTCTTTAGGCACTGTGATATACTAAATCGGAATTAAGTTGGGTCCGGCATAATAACTAAAATATTCTTAGCACAATTAAGTCACGGTAACTTTAAATAGAATGTGATGTTCCACACATAATACATATTCTTCATACACTAGTTACGTCTCACAATGTTCTATAGTGGAAGTGGAGGAGATTCTGGAGTTCTTCAAGTGCAAGATGAGCTAATATGACTGCATTATATCAAGACATGTGCACATTCATTGACGACATTAACAAGATAGATAGATTTTATCCCAATGAATTGCTAATTCATGAGATCTTAAAACTAACAGTGCCAAGACAAAATAGATTAGGATGGATATGAAAAATTCAAATTGCAAAGATGTTGAAAAACCTCTGCTTTCTCCATATGTCCAAGCTGAACATGGCAAATTCCAGCTTTTATAATTGTGTGCAATGGAATCTCTTTTTCACCAACACAACCCTGCTGTGCACGCTCAATGTGTTCAAGAGCTTTAGCATATGCATTGTTTTCCATGAGTACTGAAGATACGAGATCAACCACACTTAGCTTAGCATGATTGTCATGATTCCTAAGAATGTCCTCCAGCATAGAAACAGCTCGCTCATGCTGCCCACATTTTTTATACAGCTGAACAAAAAAAAAAATAAAGAAAAAATCACTTTTAATGGAAAGTAAAAGATAAAGAAAACAAAAAAATAAGCATACCAACATACAGCAGAAATAAAGAGCACTTGATGATAGTGACATGTTGAATGAATTACCTGACTCATGTCCATATAATCTTAGACAGTAATGCAATTATGTGGCTTCTTCTCTCACTTTCAAACTTATGGAGAAGCAACCACATAATGCACAGAAAAGCATTTTTATTTTTATTTATATATATCTTTGTCTTTTTGGTCACTTTCCCATGTCTATTGTCGCAGTGTTGCTAACGGAGATGACAAGACAAGAAAGAAATAATTATAGCAGTAGAACCTGGCCCATACAGGTTGATGGTCCACCACGTTTTCTTTGCATAAAGTTATAATGTTAATTTAATTAATCAGCTATTACGCTCCAATATAAGGACCAACGCAACTATAATTTTGTAATAAGAAGTTATTGTAGTTATTCTTCATTACTGATAGTGAAATGCTTGTTATGCTGACAAGACAAGCTGATGGTTGTGAAATGATACACACGTCCGATTCCAGGCTACAACTACTAAAAGAGGAAAACCAGACGGTAATCCAAACTTTATTTACATTTGTAGGAAAACAGACTCACAAGCGAGAACATCCCAGCCTAACATGTACAGCTGGTGGTCATAGTACCATGCTCATAGTTCATCCTCATTCAAGATGACTTTCTATTTATGGCTTCATACATGACCCTTTAAATATCTTCATCTTAAATTGCAGGCAATAACAGAAACTTTAATAGAAGTCAGAAAGCAACAAAGCACAACATTCTCAACTCTTCATTACACAGATAGTAAACAAATACACTTAACAAAGGAGAAAAAAACGTCAAAAATAATTAAACCTGAGTTGCCTTTTCCAACACTTCAACGTTATCAGGACAATGACGGGAGATTTGCTCATATGAATCAGCCGCTTTAAGACAATCGCCAAGCTCAATGTAGAGTGACGCACGATGTAACCGAAGACCAATATCGTGTGGATCTGCTATTATGGCTTTATTGAGACAGTAATTTGCCTGCCTTTTGTCTCCTTGCTCTCTGCATAAAATAACATAACATTCAAAACTAAGTTAAAGCGTTAAACCTGACAATGTAAAACATAAACTATAAACTGCCAACAGAGCTTCCAAAGACAACAAAGTAAAGAACAGAAATGTCAATTTCCATGAAAATGCATGAAGTACCAGAAGATTTAGAACTCTTTTTGTTTGAAATAAAAATTGACATGAAATAATGTCTCTAGTGTCCTTCATCAACCAAGAATGGCCATATAAAGAGAAAAAGAGAGGAGAAGGATAACTCCATAACTTTTTTCTTTGTTCTTTCTAATTGTCCTAAAGTTGTGCAATAGATAATCCAAACTAATTCTTCAGCAACTATGATCCTCTTGATGCGAGCTTTTGCAAAAGAACATAACATAATGACATAAAGAGCATATCATAATGACACGAGACAGCTACATTGTGCCAACAAATGCAGCAAGACACAACTAAGTGAAAGAATACATGCGGCTTATAAACACTTAAGAATATGCTGAACTAAGTGGTCATTCTTATATTTGTGAAACAACCAGAGAAAAAACGGCAATACAACAATACGAAGGAAGACCAAAATGTAGATAAGGAATGAGATGCCTGTCAATTTCTAACAGCTACTCTAAAGATGATGATGCCAAAAAAAGAAAAAAAAAAACAACACAGCACATTTGAAGCTGAGATCAAAATAAATGAGGCATCTTACATTGACTGGGCAACAAGAAGTTTCCACAAAGAACAATCCTTTGGCGTCAAATGGGCAGCAATCATGTAAAAGTTCAATGCTTTCTTCTTATCACCCATAGAGGTATATATCAGACCAAGTGTATGATATGGTTCAGATAAATTAGGCGCAAGAAGAATAACTTCTTTTAACAAACAAATTGCCTGCCAATCAGGATACGAGCAATCAAATAATAAATCAAGTGAACAATAGAATTAAAAATTTTTACTCATTTAAGTCGAGCAGATAACATTCTTCCACAAGGACAGGCCATTGTTGAGAAGTGCGCACTATGAAGGAAAGCATGCATTAGTTACAACGATACAAGGCACACCTAGATGCTCAAATTGATATCTGATCTACAGATGTTACTGAAGTACAATTATTTTGCAATGTAAGTAAAATAACATAAGCTCATGGCTGGATAGTAACATGCAGTATGTACTAAACCAAAATTAGTATGCCCATGCACTTCTAATCCAATATATGCTTAAAGCAATTGACTTAAGTAAAGTATCTTTTGGACTACGGAAATACGGATCCAACAAAACTATCCACCTAAGCCTCAAAACAGTTCCCAACCATAAGAATCTCATCTTCCATGTTTTGAAAAGAATAAACAAAAAACTTCATGCAATTCCAATTTTTTAACCTCTAGTCTGGGAAGATATACAAAAAAAAAAAAAAAAAAAAAAAAAAAAAAAAACTCTCCAGATTCATTCAAATCAAAGACGGGAAGGAGGGCATAACATTTTTTGGATATGTAAGATGAAACTGTGGAATTATAAGATGGAAAATACATACCTCTTCAAATCGACTGTGTGCATAATGAAGTGTGGCATCACCAAGTTTTCGGCTCACTTCAGGCTTAACTTTATTTCTTGATCCCTTTCTCCTTCCTGATTTCTTATTCTGATTTAATACCAACAGGAACAAGATAAATGAAAAACCAGATGGTTGCAGTAACAACAAGAAAAACACATGGAATTCCTGAAGCAACAAATCTCAAAAAAAGAAAATATTAATTCACTAAAAAAAACAATTGTGTAGAGGTTATCACAATAAGCAGGAAACTATAGATAATCAAATGAAAGCTTAGAAGCTTATGTTGGGTTCGTCACAGACTGCAAAATCGAAGTGGCACGACCGCTTAGTGATTTAAACTCTTTTTTGTACTTCAGTGCCCTGGGCATAAATCCATGTTTACAACAGAGCACTCTTTCACATCATCTAGATCCTTCGTAATTTTTATAACCAATAACTCGGATTTTAAAAAACACTACAAATGAAAAATAGAAAAGGTCTACCCCAGAAATTAGACAAAGAAAAACACAAACTTAGAGTCCGAGAATGTCATAACAGAACTAATCAGAAAAGAAAAAAACAAGCCCAAACCTTCCTCGACCGTCTTCTCATACCGTAGTTCATGGTCTCCATTATTTCTTCAAAGCTTGCTCCAAGTACTTCATCCTGCCGCAACCTCTTAGAAGGCACTTCACTGCAATCCCAGAGTACGAATAAAAAGAAGAGACTATGAATGAGGGTCGAAGATCAAGTCCGACAAGTAGGCACTAAACTGCACCAATTCTTTATAGTATACTAATTATTACAAAAATGAGGTGAAAATAACAGAATATTAACCTCAGGGTTTCCTGAGGAGCGGGGCGCTTCTTGACAGCCAGGACCTCGTAATCATACTCTATCCGCTCAAATCTTTCATAAGGCTGCAAACCGGAGGCATCTTCTTCTTCTGCAAACGACAAAGGGTCCATTTCCCCTTGGAATTGAAATTTGTACTCCGATTTATCATCACACTCTGTTTCTTCTTCTTCTTCCTCCTCAGAAGCTTCACTATAGTCAGCATCTCCTTTGTCCTCGTCATCCTCTTGCAAATTGAGCCCCGACTCAAGTTCCAGTTCCTGAGGATGTTCGGATGCATCAAACATTAGAGTCTCTTCAGGTACTAAACGACTATCACTAGTGTTACGATCCATTTTGGGGATTGCATCACCATGATCGATCATGATTTTCCCTTCTCATACGAAGCCTGCAAGTATGGGAAATAAATTGGCATATGTAATTAAATTAAAACTATTTTGGGATTTTTTTTTTTTTTTTTTTTTCTCCATCCTAAGCTGTCGAGCATCCGCTTTTTGGATGTTCTCGAGCATGCTTAGTACGAGATTTTGGATGAAACAGAGCTTTAAGCTCATTTTTGTTATTATTTTGACAGATTGCAGCCGCACCTCATCGCCCTCACTTAGGTTTGGCATCCACCACGGCACCTCATCGCCCTCACCTGCACTCTTCTACTGCCTTTGCACGTTATCATAGCGGAGTATCGGACGACACTTGTCTGTGGTGCGGAGACAAGTTAGAATATGGTTGTGAAGTCAACAAATGCAAGACTCTTTCGTATGAGAGTCTTCGCGTGGTAACTTATTTATATTTTTCATTTTAATTTTTTAGTAGTAGGTCTCTATTTTTTCTTTTTCAGTAACTTATTGTGTATGCTTGCAGGCCGTGAATGTATTCAAGTAAGCTCACCGATTTTCAGAATCGAAAGGGGAGAAGTCGTATGCCTAGCCGTAAATGTATTCAAGTAAGCTAATCTGAAAGGGGAGAAGTCATTGTGCCACCCGCTCAGATTCCCTTGAACCAAGTTGCTCCGATCTTCATTAAATAAAACATTCTCTTAGGTCGTGCATCAACTTGCACACTCCAGGTCGAGTTTCCATCAGGCTAGCAAAGAGCCCTAACTCGACCTATTGGCGAGTTCTCTTATCTGTGGGATCACCATCGACTTGGTGATTCTCAATCTAAAACACATAGATTATTCAGTTATAAAATCATCTACCTCATAACAGCCTAGGCATACGACTTCTCCCCTTTCAGATTAGCTTACTTGAATACATTTACGGCTTGCAAGCATACAAAATAAGTTACTGAAAAAGAAAAAATAGAGACCTACTGCTAGAAAATGAAAATGAAAAAGTATAGATAAGTTACCACGCGAAGACTCTCATATGGAAGAGTCTCGCATTTGTTGACTTCACAACCATCTTCTAACTTGTCTCCGCACCACAGACATGTGTCGTCCGGTACTCCGATATGATAACGTGCAAAGGCAGGTGAGGGCGATGAGGTGCCTTGGTGGATGCCAAACCTAAGTGAGGGCGATGAGGTGCGGCTGCAACCTGTCAAAAGAAGAACAAAAATGAGCTTAAAGCTCTGTTTCATCCAAAATCTCAAATGCCACGTACTAAGCATGCTCGAGAACATCCAACAACAACGCGGCACGTAGCAACAACATACAAACACTTAAGCAAACATATAAAAGGACGGAGAGCACATCAAACTTTCAGATTGGCATGTGTGGCTCACTAACACAAAGATGAAAAGCTACCAAGACTTAACAGCCTGTGTGAGAACTGCGACTAACCCTCACTTACAAGCTACCATAAAACGGGAGCTTCAACAACCTCAGAGATAGCTATCGACTTATGCCGGGACAACACCTTAGTGCAAGATAAGTTATTACTACAAAGTGAATTAGTTTTGCAGATAATACTTCAATCCAGCAACTAGTAGCAATTTAAAATTGATAACAACAAGAATAGATATGGGCACAATTTAAAAAACTGTTAATAATAGATAACAACCAACTTACCTCAGGCAGGACAACTTCTTCGGTGGCTGCCGTAGTTCCGAGCAATCTGGACGCAGATGATGGAGATCAAGAAACTTGAATGTATCTCATGATGCGTTCTTTAGCAATCTGCATATACAAGTAAACCGATACTTTAATACCCAAACCAGTTCAATCCTTACAAATGAACCAACAGAGGAAAACACCAAAGCAGATGCCCTAGACACCAACCAAACTAAGAAACAACCAAACCAACTAAAGGCAGTAGCACACTGAACCCTTTAATAGTTACAACACAACCAGCGACAACAAGACACCAGTAAGCAAGAACCTGAAACAGGGAAAAACCAGAAAGCAGCAAGAAAAAATGTCACCACTGAACCAATCCTTGCCTCAGAAATTTCCCTTTTGTCAGCTTCACAAATTCTCCACCACCAAGATTTAAAAGATCCTGAACCAGATGGCACCTCATCCCATCTAACAGGGGTCAATTGCAAAACCCTCTTAGCCCTGCTACGAGTAAAAAGCACATGTTCCACATACTCAACTTCTTCTCCACAACCTAGGGCAGATTATTATAACACTTCCACAGAAAGTGCTTGAGCTTGTTCTTAATTTTCAATCCCTAGCTTTTCCCAGTAATACCCACACAAATATTCCCAGTGAAAATGCCTAAAATATCAAATTACGGAGAAAGAAAGAAAGAACAGAAACTTACAACGGCCAGCCGTTCGGCACTGTGCGTCAACCGCCTGTGTACATCTTCACAAACCGCTGAGAGAGAGAGAGAATCTCCAGTGGCCTTTGGATTGTCCTATCTCAAAAAATCATATGTGGCCTAAAAAATTTTAGAAGTCTTTCTAGATATAGAAGTATTTCTAGAAAACTTCTATTATATATTATATTACATATTCAAATTTTTTAATTTTTTTCAACCAATTATAAATTTACACATGTCATAATAAACCATTTTAAACATAATCCATTGGAGACACAATTTTTTAAGGGTGTTACTAATTACCGCCCCCCATTACTATTTACCGCCCCCCTTGGACGATTTCGCCCTTTTCATTTTTTCCCTACAGCAAAATGAGCTCTTCATCTGAGGTATTTTTTTTTTTTTCCGTCCGGCCGACGAAACCGGACGGAACTGGGCCTGTCCGGCCGGTCGAACCGGATGGCCTTTACGGCGTCCGGCCGGGTCGGCCGGACAATATGGGTCACGTACGGTTTATATGGCCGTACGAACCGGTCTATGTTCGGTCAGACCGGCCGTACGGCCCATGTGGTGTCCGGCGGCGACGGCCGGACGTAGCCGGTCCGTCCGGTCCGACCGGCCGGACACCTCCATTTTTTTTTTTAAATAAATATTATTAGAATTTATTTTGTTATAGAAATTATTATTATTTTGGTATAAATTCGACATAATTATGTTATAAATTGGACGTGTTAGATATTATTGCTTTAGGGATTAGAAATTATTATGTTATCGAGTCGAAATAATTATGTTATAAATTGGACGTTAGATATTATCGCTTTAGGAATTAGAAATTATTATATTATCGAATCGAAATAATTATGTTAGAAATTGGACGTTAGATATTATCTTGTTAGGAGTTAGAAATTAATTAGATTTGTGTATCTATAAATTGAATGTTAGATATTATCGCGTTAGGAAATAGAAATTATTATGTTGTACAATTGAAATAATTATGTTATAAATTGGACTTTATGAGTTCGACATAATAATGTTATAAATTGAACGTTAGATAGCTTTAGGAGTTAAAAACCGAATCTGACAGTTTTGGCTTTGTCAAACTCACGACTCGCGAGTTTAGCATAGGAAAACACCCAAATCTGGCGAATGGCGAGATTAATTCGGGAGTCGCCAGTGTATTCGCGACTCGCGAG